CCGCACAAAAAGGCCAGGCTCGACGTTAAAATGTGGAAGGGTACAATATACTATGGAAAACTGGATGGCTAGTTTGGGGCTGGTGTTCACCGTTCGGTAGTGCTGCATTCCACTGCTCATCTTGTTGTACCGGCTGCAAATTGGCCAAATTCTGCGCGCTGGCGCTGAGTACTCGGCAGGTTCACAATTCTTCCCTGGCAGAATTCAATGTGCTCTGGAGAACACAATGAATTGTCCCGTCAAGAGGTCTGCGAAATCTGCTGCCACAATTCATCCTTGTACACAACGGCCTTTGGCGTACCGCGTGCTGGGGAATACTTATCGGCCCCGGACAGTCTTGGTGCCCACGCCGCCGCTTGCCTGTCGTCATGTGTCGCTGACCCCATGAGAGCAATCTGTGCAGCTATATTCGTTGGTTGACAGACCCATCATCACATCGAAATTCGATGTGATGAATTTCGAAGTTCGATGATCGGGCATGGACGACTCAATGAACTGCTCAGTGTTTGCAGCCTGTTTAATGGGCCATCTGATCATTAGTTATGCTCAGCTGGTCAGCTGATAGATACCCATATGCAGGCTTATTATTTACGGCGTGAGCACAGCCTATTTATGCCTATTTACGCGTGAAAATGGTTTTACATTTTTGTGAGTAAATTACCGTAAATGGGTAAAAATGGGCTCTGTGTACCTAAAAGCAGGACATCGGACTGAGAGAGTCCGGGGAGTGGTAGCTCGAGTCGAGCTACTCGATGGGCTGAAGTATGCATAAAACGATCTTTTGCTCGGCGACACCATTTGTGCCGGTGAGAGTGGAGGACTGAATGCTGATAGGGGGCATCGCCATGTAATATGGGCATATCTACGAGCCGTAAACATACGTAAATATGGCCGTTTCTCGATTTGCACGTTTTTACGCGCAAAAACGTAAACGCGGAAGTGGATACACAAACGCGAACAACAAGCCTGCGCATATGGGTACCCAACACCCCCATGTTCAATTTGATTGAGCTTCTGGGTTCTGCGCCATCTGCAGCGCTGGATGGAATCGAATCGAGCTGAATGGAGTTAGATGAGTAGTACGAGACAAAACTTTGCAGGTCCAAACGGCGTGAGATTTTCTGGTGCAGTCTCGTCTCCTTCGGCGTTTCGGTCACTTGTGCCGCTTCAGCTGATTACGAGCAATGCATAGACAATCTCTCGGTCATTTACGGGATACGGGCACAAATCGTGGCAGGTGATGTTCCTGGTGGGTGACAATGGCGTCATACTTGTGGACGCGCCATTCTTCACAACGACGCCCACCCTCGCCGACGTCATCTCTGAAGTGTCCCAGAAGAACGTGACGCACATCATCTACAGCCACTCCGGGCTCACCCACATACTGGGCGCCGTGAATTTCCCCGGAGCGACGATCCTTGCTCACGAAGACACGAAGCGGTTCATTGAAAAGCGCCAAAAGATCCGTCCAGAGGACGAGAGGCGTCTCCCCGATGTGACATTCAAGGAGAATGCCTGGGTTTTGCCGTCGGGGGAAATTGTTACTGACGACGACCCCGCTGGAATTGATGCAGGGGATTTTAAGGTGGGGTGGGCCGGAGGGCGTCCGGCGTTGGAAACCACCATTGGATTCTGTCTGTGCTTTTCAGATTTGAAAGAATTCACTGAATGCCGGGTTGGCAATATGCACGTCCAAACGAACGTTGCTAACTTTGAAAAGCACACCTTGATTTTGCTAGAGATTTTTTTTGATATTTGAATTTCCTACCGACACAGCACTAGGCGCATATCATGTGCAATTTTGTGGATGAAGAGGAAAGATGAACGTGTTTCATGGGAACCTTGTATATTGCCAAAAAAACTCAGAGCAAGAATAATGTGGAAACGGATTATTTTTTCGGTGAAATTTTCAGTATCTGCATGCCACACTTTTGCAAATTGGCACAAGCAGCATCGTAGGAATAGATACCAATCTCTTGACAGATGTTTCAGTTCAATTGCACCTTCATGCATGTGTGCGAGTTGTTCGCTGATATATTGGTACATGGTGATTTTAATGTGGTCTCAGTTCATGGCTAGAAGCAAAGCTAGCAATAGGGAATGGACTCAAGCCACACGATCTACTTATCCATGTAAGCCTCGCAATACAAGATAGTGAAATTTTGATTGATGATGCGATGAATCAGGTTGTGTATCTTTTCTTAATAATACTCTTAATCGACTAGTCGTCATCGATTTTTCGTCATTTGTCAGCTGTCTTAACTCTAGCCGATTCATTATTGCAGTTAGCAATTTTGCACTGCAGCAATCACGCATGATTGCGCGGGTGACCGATTGGACGTCCATGTCTGCTTAATACTAGTATACTATTACTACTAATATACTAGTGCTACTAGTATATTAGCGTTGGTTGTACAATAAACCGTCCTTTATCTCCTCAAGGACCTCCCTTACCGGCTCGGCCAGGGATAGGACGGCGTTCTCATCCCATGTACATGGCAGATATCGAATGTTAGTTCCCGTTGTGGAGGGTTTGTTTTCACATGCTCCCATAAAAGGCCTTCATATAAAATCTCGGTTTCAGGTATGTTAACACTTGCAATGGAAACTTTATACGCGCGCGAAAAAATGATGTATGAAATGCCGTACGCGGAAAATCAGTCCAGCTGCTAATTAACATAACAATCGCTTACAATACACCTTTGGTACATTCAGGGCTTAATGCTGCAGGCGGGAAACTGGGTTGCCGGAGGCGATCTCATCATCCGCGCCCCCTCCCGCCGAACCGCGATGGCCGTGCACCTCATCCAGCCGGGATGGACGCCAAACTTCGAGGCCTTCTTCCTCGCCGACTACATCAACGGCCTGGACACCGTGCTGGCCCTGGAGTTCGACACATTTGTCGCCGGCCACCACAACCGCCTGGGCACCCGGGAGGACGTCGAGATCAGCAAGGAGTACGTGCTGGACTTGGTGGAGGCCGCTCGGGCCGTTACAGAGGAGGTGGAGTTTCGGACGGGGTCGGAGCTGGCCGCGGAGAAGGGCGCCTGTTTCGCCAGGAAACCTGGCGCGGTGCCGGGCGACTTCTTCACGAGGGCGATTCCGCGGTGCGTCGAGACAATGGCGCCCAAGTGGGCAGGTCGGCTGGGAGAGTTTGAAGAGACAGTGGGTGGCCATTGCGGCTTCGCAGTCAATGAGTTTTTGCTCTGATGGCGGCGTGTGGAACACAGAGCGTTGGACTCCCCCGCGCTCTGCGTTGTTCGAGTCGTTTAGCTGCAGTTTGAAAGGGATGTAGCAGCGGTTGGGTCTGACGCACGGGTTCCTGCACGATCTATGCGTTGATCGTGGAGGAGAAGGCAAGTTGTTCCAGGAACACGGGATGTTCATGTTCCACAGACATTGTCGGGGCAATTTAGAATGACCATTGAAACCAGGACAATGTGAAATAGGAGTCTCCCCAACAGTCCCTGCAATATGGGCAGCGCAGATGTACCCTTCCAGAATTCGTGTAATGGGTGCGTACGCGCAGGTTTGGGCACGTCTACAGCGCTGCGTACGGCTTATGTCTCTGTGGGTGGCACCCACTGGGTGCACGCGTATTGATATCCAGACACCCATGTATGCATGTGTACAAGATACGCATTCAATGCATATTGTACAAAAAATTGGCAACAGTACGAATATTTGCAAGCCAGCAACATGGTCACCTCATTCCAGGTCATGACCTGGAACTTGTCTCAGCGCTATGTGGACACGTTGCACTTGCGCGCGTAAGAATAAAGGCTCCAAGATTGCGGGGATGCATGCAAGTCAAGAGAAAACTTTTTACGTGGGTATGACAAACCTGGGCGCGGGACAGTCCCTACGCAGTCACTGCGTTTCCACGCCCGTGACAAACAGGGGTAGGTTACACACACGGGGTATGCGTGGAAAGTGGTATGACCACAGAGACACATTTGGGAGCACAATCGAACCGATCTACCAGCTGTTGAGCTTTGAAACAGCAGGTTTGGACCCAATTAACATCTTCCCTTGTACGGTCCATTATCGCCCCTAAGAAGCCATTCAATCATGGAAATTTAGTTTGCGCGACGCTTCAATAGCAAACCGTGTACAGAAAACTTCAATGGACAACAGATTTCGGAGTGCTTCACGTAGGAACGATTAATAAAGCAAGTGCCACGACACTAAGCGAATTTGATTTCTTTAAAGAAAACTGAAAGATCACCAATAGACAGAGACTTGGCAAAGGAATACGCAGCAAATGGCAATTGTGCACCAGTGGATATATTCAGCTGGACATCCTGCAGGGCCGGGTTAAATGTTGAATTCCAAAACTTGGTTGGCATCACGCCAATGGCGTGCAGATAGAAGGCAGGGTGGTGCAGCAAAATAGGCCAAACCAACCAACTGCCAATAATAGACAAATAATTATGGGCTAAAAAATATGGCAAAATAATGGTTAATAGCCGAACCAATTGGAGTGAATGGTAGTGCCACACCAGTAACGCCTCTCATTCCAAACCCAGCCCACGTTGGTAGAGCTTGAACAGAACATAGCGGACAAGGAACCTGCGAAACAAAGTCAAATTACGGAAACAAAGCAACTATCTCTTTGAAAGCCTCAGGTTGCATCGGGGCCGGTGTGCCAGAAATCCTTCAAATGCTTGAATTTTGATGCGTCGGAAAAGATCGAAATGGAATGAACAACCTGCAGGTAATCGAATAAAAGGAATGAATGCCCCGCAGTCCGGTGCCTAAACGCCATTGTTCGCCCAGACAAGCCCCCAATGGCGCCGCTCCTTTGCAAACCCAAAACACTGTTGCCTATCAACCAATCGTCACCTCCCTAAGAGATGAGCGATTAGGAGCCACCAGGACAAAAATGCAAACGCCTCGCCATCGGTGTGTTGTCGGGACACGCCTCGGGCCTTACTGCCCGCCGGACTGAGCGCCAGGCCAGCCGCGGCGGGAACCCCTTCGCTGCTGTCCCCGGCGCCATGCTCTGGACGCGGTACGACTGCGACTCGCCGCCCTCGCCGCGCTACGGCCACACCGCAGTGGCGCTGGACGCCCGCTCGCTGTGGGGCACCGAGCTGGTGGTCATCTTCGGCGGCAGCAGCAAGCAGGAGGGCGGAAGGCGCGCCCTGGGCGATGTCGTCGTCTTTCAGGTCGGGCTCCGATCGCCTTCGCGCCGCCGGCGACGAGTCGAATGCGAGGGAGAGCTTCTCTGCGGCGTCGAATGATGCCCCGCAGTGTTGGAGATCGTGGATCGCATTGCGAGGGCGGTGACGGTGGCCAGGCGCCCAGGCGTTGCGGTTTGGGAAGATCGCCGGGCGCAGAAAACGCCTCACGGGCCGAGGCGATGTTCAAACTCCCTCGGGCAGGCCGTGATGGCAACAACAATCCAACAACCACCGCTGCGATCCCCATTGCCTCTTTCTCGCCTCTTACGTTGCTTGTGTTGTGGTCTCATCATTTCGCGCTGGGAGATTCTGCATCATCTTGTCGCAAGAGGACAAGAGCCTCACATAAACTTGCCTAGGAGGGGGCACCCTTTGTATGACCTGTTTTCCTCCTGAAGTGTAACGAACCTCACCCCCACTTCGTCCCTTTGGCCTTTTTCTTCGCTTGCGTCCCCCCTTTGACGCGCATTCAGTGTTGACACCGTTGATCTGCGCCCACCAGGTGGACAGCGGGTCGTGGTTCAGGCCGGAGCTGCGGTCAGCTGCGACGCCGGGGTCCAGGGCCTTCCATTGCGCTGTGGGCGTGGGGATGCGCATGTTCGTGTTCGGGGGCCACGTGGCTGTCCCCGACGCGGAGCAGCAGTCATTCGTGAGGACGTACTTCAACGACATGTGGTACCTGTCCGCGGTGCGGGGATCGACTTGGGCGGGACTGCCTGGAGAGGGGGTGGGAATGCAAAGATTGTCCTCGCCTTTGGCAATGGGGCATTCAACGGCTGCTGCTGTATTGTGATTCATTCGCAGCTCCTCTGGTGGTCTGTACACCCCAAGCCAGTCCCCCCCAAGCCAAATATGCGCACAGCTGCAGCAAGAAGACTGCAGAATTGATTAAAAATGGAGAACGAGTGTGTCGGACAGTGAAGGCATCCATCCAATGCTGGATTTTTGGGACACCAATGAGCACACTGTGGAAGGTGCCGTGCTCAGGGCAGTCTGTTGCTGAGGTGGCTCATCATGTCCCCTGATGCACTGTTGTGGGCTAGAAGGATTTGAGACACGATGAGTGCACCCCCGTTCATCAGAAGGACAATTTCTGGACATGCCCCCACGATTGCAAAGGAAAAGTTCCATTTCTAGCCTGCTTGGTTTCACGTTTGCCAGAACTGACAGTGCTCGGCGATGACCAGAATGTAGCAAAACTCTAAGAGTGTATCTACAGGCCATGGCAGCTCTCTTTCAGTGTTCAACCTCAGCCCCAAGTAACTTCTTTACTCCAAGAGACCCAGTGCAAGCACCACTGCATTTCTGTGCTTACCACAAGCACACAGTACTGGAACAACCAGCGGTTGCACAACTCCCAACGGTGGTATCAATTTGTGCAACATGTTCAACTGCACAGAAACGATCTGAACAATTCTGTGGAGACTGTGACTGCTGCTCACTCCGCTGTGTTTTAGGACAGCTGGGAGTGGACGCTGCTGACTGTGCCAGAAGAAGGCAGGCCCTGTGGCCGTGACCTTGCCTCGATGGTCGCAATTGACGACGATCGAATACTGCTTTTTGGGGGCCGCACTGATGCTGGAAAGTCGTTGAACGATCTATGGCTGTTTGAAATAAAGGGGTACGTGTTATACCCTCCTGCTTACCCTTCGAAAATGAGCCTGCCATTGGATTCCTTTCTGTCTGTGCAGATGACGGCCTTTCTCTCTGCTTGTTTTGAAGGCATCTGCTGGGGCATTTCCTGTCTTGCATGCTGTTGGCCAGAGTACATGTGTGTTTGAGAACTGAAACCGTGTTGAATGACTAGCAATAGCTATAGAAGAATTGTGAAAGGCACGGGCTGTGCATCTGTCCGGCGATGCCTCACAATGAGAATCTTGTCTGAGTTCGATCAATGGATGCAGGTCAAAATGGACGAATTTACAGGCTGGAGGCAACGTTCCGGGAGCAAGGATGAAACACCAGTTGGTATATGTAAGAATTCCACCACATGTCATGGCACTGTGCCAGCGCAGTTTCAAAGCGCAGTCCTCTGGGCCAAATATCCTGTCTGGGCATTTTGGCTGCCGATTGCATTGTCGACAACCTGTGCTCTGCTAAGTTAGGACCTCTGTGTGCTGGTCAAGAAAGCATGCTTGCCACCAGATGTGCGGCCTGCCAAGTGCAAAATACTCAGACAGCGCAATCTGCGCACCTGTCTGAGGCAATAACTCTCATTCTAGATTAAGTTTGCCACCAATCCCTGTGCACAGTCATGAGTGCTACCATTCAGCATATGTTTTGGATGCCACTAATCTGATGCCCTCCTGCTGGGCAACTGTGTGGATTGCATCCAGTCTCGATTTGTGAGCAGTTTCTCCTTTCCACTCTGCGGTCCTGCCAGCTTCTTCACATCATTCTCCAGTAGTACTGACATTGTTGCCAATGGTGACAGCGTCTGCCTGCCTTTCTTTCATTCCAACCCCAATGTGAATGTTACACTGTACATTGCTGCCATGCTTTTCTGCTGCAAGCACTACACACACAAGACAGACTGATAATGGCTGATTTCTTTGGCGTATCAGTCACCAGACCATCGGCTACTGTTTCTTCATGGTGGGGAAACTTCCACAGGCTCTCTCTTTGATGACCTGTGGAGCATACGTGGAGTGGACGGGCAGGAACCCTGGCAATGGACACAGATCAAGCTGCGGCCCAGACCTAGTGGCAGGAGTGGGCATGCAATGTCAGGTGCTGCTGCAGCTGTGTGTGCGTTTCCAAGTGTGTGTTTTTCAAGTAGTTCCTGATTGTGTGTGTTTTCCAAGTTTGTATATGCAAGTGCAAAGGACTGCACAACGTCACAATCATGCATGGCTATATTGTTAATTGTGTGCTGTAGCAACAGTTCAATGTCATGCCACTGGCCCACACAGGCACCAACAATGTCACGCTTATTGTTCAGAGCCTGAACTAGGTGATAAACATCTGCAGTAGAGCAGGGGAAGGAAGTGACACGTATGCATTACTTTTGGTTTTAAAATGCTCTGGGTATCCAGGCATGATGTCTCTATCCTGTACTTTGAATTACTTTTTGGTGTGTCCACAGACCTGTGTAAGTAACAATTGGTATGTAGGTCTGCAATTTTAGATTTTCGTCTTGAATGGGAACAGTACTTTCTACTGCATATGTGTGTTATTCTGCATAGATTACCTTTCTGAAAGGTTGAAATGCACTGTCCATGTACCATCAATGCATTCAGTAGCATTTTCTGCAATATTCTGTTCTGAATTTCCCTCCATAAATGTTCACTTGAACCAAACAGGACAACCCACTACCTTTGGCAGCTTTGGAGTGCAGTGAAACCTGTTGGGATAGATGCTGTTGGGGTGAATGCGAGCCATGTGTTGGCATGTGGATTGTCAGTGCCTCCAGCACCACCAGGGCAATGTTCAACTGCCAGCATTTTAGTTTCTGCTGCTGCTGAACACGTGACCATGGCACCTCTAAAGTCAGTACCATACAGTCAGATAGAATAGGAGATTTCCGCATCTCACAACCACCATATGACTTTGTAATCACATCCTGGTCCTGGGTCCATTTCTCATGTGTACTCAGTGGCTCAAGATATGGTGATCAGCAGTGTCATGTTGTCTTCCTGAAATGGAGTTGGCATATGCAGCAAGCCCGATTTCGTCCATTGAACTTCTTGAATTTTTCATGGAGATCTGCCGTGTGGTTTGGGTTGATGTCTTTGCAAATGCCAGATCCCCTGCAACTTGAGCACATCCAACTGCACCCACGGAGTATTGTAGTTGACTGTAAGAGAAATTCTTGTGTCCGTGTGAGAGGCACTGTCTGCTGCATGTGTCCAACCAAAAAGGTCTTGTCCCAGTGCCCAAAGATGATTTTGATTGAGACTGACAGGTGTTTCTGTCGTGGTGCCTCTCCAGTTTTCGGATCATCTGTCCTGTGCTATGGAGGACACGTCACGGCAGCAGGATTTGCTTTCTTTTCCCAAAATCATTTCTACAGTAAGGAACTCTGGGTTCTGGACTTGAAAGAAATGAGGTATGATGCGGTAAAGTGTTTACTGAAATGTGTGCTTTTTGCATTGGATGGCCAGAGATGAGAGGCCCGATGCCCGATGGGCCTATTGAAAGCAACTGGATATTTTAATGTGTCAATAATGCAAGGTATGGCTTGACGTTGTGCTGCTCCACACGACCTGTAGAAAGAACAGCTTGTTCTACTGCAGGATTGTTTCTGCTTCCTATATCTGCATCTCTTTCTGCTGATGCTCCTGCTCTGCCCATATCCCATGGGAAAACTTGTGGACCTTGATCACCCAATGACCATGCCACGGTGTGTATTGGTCCACAGAGATTGATAACATTCTGAGGGCTGTCTTACTGTGGGAGACTAACATTGTGAGAACAGCATGTGATGTACTATTTGAGCGTTTCTGGTACACATGCTATTCTGGGTTGGGTTACAGTTTCATGCTGTAGCATGTGATTCACACACGAATGTCAGGCGAATAAGTTCAGTCTCCCCCATCTGCAGCACCAAGGGAAGGTGCTACCAAATGCACTAAGCACATGACCTCTTATTGGAAGCTATGTTGTCTTGGGTATGATGTTGCAGATGGGCAAAGCTTGAGGGTTCCAACATTGATTGGCCTTCTGAGCGCGTGTGTCCTTCGATTGTGCGCCTGCTTTCTGGTGCTTACCTGATGTTTGGAGGAAGGGATAGGGACTCCACGTTTGGGGACTGCTGGTGGCTGGACATGGTGAGGGTGCCAATCCGATTGCCTTTGTCGTGATAAACCAAACATCACCATTGCAACTGTGAAGAATCAGTTTGCTGAGATGTACAACAGTTCTCTGCTCCATTGCCCAAAGTGTTGTGAAGCGGTGAGTGGAGAACAGACAGCTTTGCTCCATTTCCATAACCATTGTTTTGCAGCAGTGATTTGTATCCTGTGGCTTGACCGTTTGTACCTGGATGTGGCATGTGCACCAGTTGGAATGTGATAGCCGTTAATTGTGGCAGCGAGATATCGAATGCTTGCAGGAAAAACAAGAGATATTTGAATGCTGTAAGAACCAAAATCGTGACAGTAATAAGCAGCATCTGTAGCATGTACCCCATTTTTTGTGGCCTGCATAAGAGAGTGTAGAATGGTGGGAGTTCAGGTGCTTGCTTTGTAGGGAAGAGGGTAGGTGCAGCTGAGCTGAAAAGGGCACAAATGATGCAGGAATTTACATGAAACTACTAAGCTTTCCAACTGCTGTACCCAGTAACAGATAGTTGCAACTGCACAACATGTCTGACCAGTGTGTCTTGCCCTGTGTGCCGAAGAGTGAGGTTGATCGCCTGCCCTTGCCTTCTCCGCGTGGAGGTGAGATGCAACAAGGAACAAGTCCAGTGGACAGGTGCGTTCCCCAATGCGATCTGCGGCACTACCTCATAATGCAGTGCTTTGCTAGAATGCTTGGCAATGAACCTCGCACGTGGCCATCATGTGCAACATTGTGCCACTGTTTTCATGTTGTCCGAGGCTATCAATTGTTTCTAATGCCCATGAAATGAATGCTGGTCTGCCAAGTAGGCCGATGGACTGTTCAGGACACTCATGTATCAGTTCGCAAATCACGCCAAAATGATGCTGATGTTGTGCAGTATGCAGATTCCTTCCAGTAATGCCTGGACTGTTTGGCCCCTTGCTTCATTAAACCGTAATGCAGCCAATCTGACATGGCCCAGTGCGAGCAAGGTCATTGATATTTTGCCCTTATTAATTGTTGCTGTCATTATTTGTTCTTGTCACTGTTCCATGCAAAAATGGAGGCCTGCACAGGGTCGCTATTGTCTGCATTGTTGCGGCATGCACTGGCAGCAAACTTTGCAGGGAAGGTATTAGCTGGTCTTGCACCCAACCCCACATGTGTATTTCAGATTTCTGCACCACAAAACAGGTGCCTTGGGTCGGTTTGCTCATGTATGCTTGTTGGTTGTACCAGTTGTTCTTGCAACAGTGTTGATCGATTGGAGGCAAAAGGCACTTGGCGTACCCAAAACCTTTGCTGGGCAACACTGGCATACATGGTGTCCCTCTCCAATTCTGCGCTGGTCACCTGTGCCACGTGTGTGATGACCCTTGTCTTTGCATCTTAAGGCAATGATAGACTCTATTGCTTTCTCCACATTTGTTCTCTGCATGTGATACACTCACACAGCCCACTGTACCTGCATAACCCTATTTTCACTGCATTTGTTGGTTGCCCTGCCACAAATCTCCTGCAAGCCAAATCCAGCAATCCAGCAATCATGAGGGTAATACCATTGCGATTTGGTCATGCTTGGTGTCAAACGGCCTGTAGGGCGGTAGCTGTGGTGGTGATGGGTGGTGGGGTGGGGACTGGGTTTGTGGGCCAGACCTGTGGTGCTGAGAGATTGCATAATTGCTCCAAGATCGACGCCAGACAAGCAGAAACCATGGTAACCCCTCCCACATCCAAAAAACTATCTGAAGCAAGCAGTCAGCAGTGGGCATCAAAACTAAATTTCTAGGCTTGTTCACTTGAACATATTCCCAAACTGTTTGTGCGCCCAGTCCTGCTATGCAGCCCTAGCTGATACCAGTGTGCATTGTTCCTGGCGATATGTATTGGCTGTTGCCTGCAGATGAGGGAGGTTGATTGCTGTGTGCCATTGATTGCATCTGTAGGTCAAGTCCCCTCCCGGCACCAGCAGCACGCATCAGCACACCAACCACGCCCCAGCCGATCGCCAGAGCACCACTTGAGACGTCCGGGAGCTACCCAGGGATACAAGCTGGCCTTTCCACTGCAGCCTCCAATTCTGCGCCCACCTCTGCCAATAATCTTGCGGCACTTCACAGTTCATTGGATGAGGATGCAGGTGTGGGGAAGCATTGAGGGAGCAGTGTGTCCACACCATACTCAGCCATAATTTTGACCTGTAACTTATCTATTCCAAACCCCCATGAGTTTATGTGTTCTGGTGCATCGAGCTTTCAGAACATTCGGTGTGGTGGTTGACATTGGCCCATCGTAGCATCATGCACTGGCATACACCCACATGCAGTTTCTGCATGTTCAGCAGCTGTTGTTAACGCTGTGCTCTGCTGGATACTGGCAGTGCAGAGTGTGGGTCCTTGCAGCATACTCTTTCTAACGGCAAGCATCGGACTATGCCCAGAATGGACCCATCTGGAAACAGGAGTGGATGCTGTTCACAAGCCTTGCTCAGCGGCCAGTGCTTCCACATTTGAAAACTGTTGGCACTGGGGGCAGTTGATATCAATTAGGCAGTCATTTCAGAAGTTACTATTTTTAGACACTCTCTGCCATATGGCAAGATGTGCCCCACATTTTTAAGTAGTACACTCAAGCACTCTGTAGCCGACAGCTGCAATCAATGCAGGTTTCAAAACCTCTTGTCTGCAGTGCAACATGCTTTGTGGTATATCGACACATGCTACGTGGCATCTAAGGGCATCTTTATCGGTCGGTGCTATTGCACCGGCGGAGCTATCCAGGAACGGATCTCATTGGCTGCTGTGCCACTTTACTAAGGCGGCATTTGCCGAATAGCACCGGTGCTATTGCTCATCTGCGCGCATCCGCAATGGTGGGGGCTATGCCTACGCCGAATAGCATTACGGCAGCACTACAATGTTCTGCGTGAATAGCAACGGTGCTATTCTGAGGTGCTATTCGGCCCCAAGCGGTGCTATTCGGGGCCAAAATAGCGCCACTCGGCACCGAATAGCTCCGGGGCTGCTATTGGGGTGCTATTGCTCCCCAACTGTTAATGATGGTTTTTTGAAGTGCAGTTCTATTCGGATAGCCGAACAGCTCCGCCGGGACAATAGCACCCACCAATAAAGATGTTCTAAGTTGACACAATCGCATCTGCTTCCAACCCGCAGAGCACTGTTCAGTGCTCTTGAAAGCACCCTCCACTGTGCTGCAGTTGCTGCAATGATGGTGGCCAACACGGCCGCAGAGCTGGAGCGGCTGCGTGCCAGCTTTGGCATGGAACGTGTGGAGCGGCGCCCCATGCTGCGGAGCGAGCCTTCACAAGCCACCCCACCAGCCGCCATGGTGGACGCCTCCCTTGCTGACTACGGGCGTCGGTCGCAACCCCAAGCCTCAAGCGGGCAGAACCCCACAGCAGTGGCCCTGGGAAGGCAGTGTCTTGCGCACTGTCCTGCTGGGCAGTTGAGGCTGGGTGATGTGTGGTTGCTGCTGGCAGACTACAAGCGGCTGGTGGGGCAGATGGATATCCTGCAGGCTTGGCGGGAGCCACGGGGTGGAGGCACAACCCCAGGCCGGTTTTCTCAGTTGGGGGCTGAGGGCGTGCGGCTGGGAGACTTGGAGGCCATTTTGGCAGAGTACCAGAAATTGGTCAAGGTGCCCTGATCAAGAAGCGATGGCCAGCTGTCAAGGGGGCAAGGTGGTGTTCATGGCAGTAATGGTACCCGGCTCTGAACACTTGGACAGTGGGATCCAGGTTGCGGTCTCTGTAGAGGTGTGCATATCGGGCATGGCTTTTGTGGCGGCTGTACTTTCAACGGGTGATACTGTATTTGACTTGTAGTACTATCATTAACTGGCAACTTTGTTCCAAGCACAGCAGTGGTGCCACATATGTTCACAAGCACAGGCAACCCTTTGCACTGCATGCATGATACCGCTTTCCGTGTCTGGCCCATATGCCAACCCGCAGGTTTCACCTTGCAGATCTATATGCTGATCTGTATATGATCTATATGTGCTGGTGAGGTGAACCAATTTCTTGAATTACATTTGCAAACAAATGCCTTATATTCAAGGCGATGTCAGGGGTGAAAATTCAGAACCATGTGCGCCTCTCTCCCTCCCCTTTTTACGCCCCATACCCTTACCCTCCCCTTCCAAGGCTTCACAGGAGCCGATCAGACCATGGCTTGACCTACCGGCCCCCCCGCGCCCCTTCCCCTTGTGGTCCTCCAGTTTGGACGCCACCACCAGCACAACCGCCCTCAGCCTCCGGCCAAGGCCACACCCCAGGTCGTCGATCCAGCCCAGTGTGCCAAAGGCCACGACGTTGAGGGCGTGGCGGAGGCGCGCCAGCACACGGCGGCAGCTGTGGCGGCTGCCCGAGACCTTGTCGAGGACAACGATCGCATCGAGGACCGCTGCGCACAGTTGGGCCAGGCGCTGGAGGATAGTGCGCTGGTGGGAGGCTTCGGAGGCAAGGGACTGCACCTGGTGGGTGAGCCTGGTCTTGGCCTCTGTCAGGTCGCGGAGGCAGGCGTCCAGGGGGGTGGGGTGCTGTGGCAGTGCAGTGCAGTGCAGCTTACAATGCTGTGTTGTTATAATGTTGTGGACTACTGAATTGAAACTGACACGACCTATTTAAGGCATGGACTTTGCTTGGACAGGAATATTCACAATTTTGGTTGGGATTTCAACTGAAATGTCAAATTTTGTAGGCTCGATGCTCTGTGGGACGTAGAGGTGTTGTATGACACTCGGACTGAATGAAGTGATATTGTGTTTGAAGTGAAGTGGTACTTGGTGTTTGATTTGAAATTGACGAATTGTTGCCGCCCAATCTGTTACCGCACATTGGAGATTGGCACAAGTTCCTGTCCGCTCAATGGCCACAATTGTCAGAGTTCACTTGCATTCGTTGGTGGCTGTCACACCACAGCCTAGCCCATGGTTTTCCAGCAGCAGTCAGCGATTTTTTCTCATGCCTGTGGGCATAATCTATGCAACTTCAGGGTGGTGTCTCTGCAATAGTTGATGGTGTACAAGCACCCACCGTGAGGTCTTCTCCCAAATGATGGATGACGATGTTCACAAGGTTTCTGAGCTTCTGGTTTTCACGCTTCAGTGCCGAGAACTGCTCCTGCCAGCGCCACAGCTCATCTGTCCTTGCTCTCAGGAGCTGCGCCTCCGCATCTGCAATGGCTTGGACACAGCAGGGCGCCACTTCTCTGTCTACCCTGTCGATGCACTGTGGCCTCTTGCCCTTTCTGCCTTGACTTGAGGCGGTCGTTTCGGAGGGGTTACTTGTTGGCTGTGGAATCCCACCGCCCCTTGGCCCGTGCCCCTGCGATCAGGACATGCCACTTGTGTACGGAATCCAAAGCAAACTTTGTTGATGGACTTCTACACACCATCGCCTTGGAAAATTCAAGGGTAGTCCCATTTTTGTCCACTGTAGTTAGAGCATTGGCATACACACACACACACGCACACACACAGTATCGACAAGGGGTTTCAAATGGCACATACACAGGAGAATCGTCAAAATGCTCTTTGATTGATGAAGCTGCATATCAGCAGGCACCTGCACAAAAGTTGCTGTATCTGGTCCCTCCACGATTGTCGTTGTACCAACAAGGGTCACAAATTGGGAATAGCC